CGGGGGGGGGGGGGGGGGTGCGTGAAAGCATGCATGCTTGTGCACCAGGTGTGATCAGGGACTTGCTTAGCCTTGCTTGAATTTGCTAGGATCTCACTGGTCCAGTTCAGGGACCCACAGTGACAAGGGTGCAGTTCAGAATAATCAATCGGCAGTAAAGTTTCATTTTGATGATACCTTTTAGATTTTACATAGCCTTGTAAACCTTATTCGGTTCTCCGTAAATACTGAACGATGCCCAGTTCAACGGTCTTCATGTGAAACAATCCAAAGTATATCCTACCTAAAAAAACAGCTGAGAATATCCCGGCTCATTTATACTGTTTAATTTGCACACATCACAGCTGCCACAAGAGCCATGGTTTAGTGAGACTGTCATACACAAAGCCCTAGGCCCGAGTGGCAGGTAGTTAAATCTCACCTGCCTCCTCTGAGCCAGGGGTACAGGCTGCCTGAGCACTGTGTTGAGAAGATACTGAGGCTGCATTTGAGCTCAGGGTGAATGCGGTCATCAGCTAGCCATGTCTGCTCTGGGTGTGGGAGTTGGGGAAAGTAGTCCTTCCTTCACCTAACAGGAGCCCCGTCTACAGAGAGGTGCAAGCATGGCCCCTGCCCATGAGGGGCCACGTAAGCTGCCATTTTAGTGCCAGGCAGTGAACAGTCAAGAGCAGAGGGACCGAGTGCAAGAAGAGCCTGGCAGAGAAACCTAGGAGGGACCTTTGGGGGTCATAGGGCTCAGGCTGGGTGGACAGAGGGTAAAGGAAAGGGCTTCCAGGTGAGTAGCAGCTGGAAGGTAGAAACAGGTGGTCTCAGGAGGGTGAGGAATGGTCTCAGTGGGCTGGCTGGGGTGGGGAGGCCACACAGTGAGGCCTAGAGTTGAGGTCTGATCTGAGGCAGGCACTAGGCAGGGCAGGCCTAGGCCACACCCCACCTGCCTCCTGGCTCCCCCTGGGGTTGAGAATGTGCCTAAGAAGCTCCAAGAAGCACCTTCCAGGGGGCCAGGGCCAGGGTGACCCCTCACCACCCACCGGGATCTGTTTGGCCTGGGCCTGTGGCTGCAGGAGAGGTGGGAGCAGGCAAGAACAGCTGAGTGACCGCCCACCTGCCCCACAGGTGGACAAGACAGAAGACAAGTCCCTGGAGGAGCGGGGCCGCATCCTCATCTCCCTCAAGTACAGTTCGCAGAAGCAGGGCCTGCTGGTCGGCATTGTGCGCTGCGCACACCTGGCTGCCATGGACGCCAACGGCTACTCGGACCCCTACGTGAAAACGTGAGTGTGCAGCCCAGGCCAGCCGCCTCCTTCCCCTTTCTCACCTCCAGGGACTGGGAGGTCCACGCATCGAGATCAGTAGCCGTGTGGCAAGTAGTTGTGTGAAACACAGGGGGTGCTGTGCCCATGAGGTCATACTCCTCTACGCTCCTTGGGCAATTCTGTGGGTTGAGTCTGGCCAAACCCATTTCTCAGATGAGGAAACTGACGTCCATAGCAGTTGAGTGGCAGCCCGGTCACACATTGATAGAGAGCAGTTATCTCCTGATGTTTGGTTCAGGTCTCTCTGTGGTCACGGGGCCCAGGAAAGGCTGTGAGCAGGCTGGAGGAGGGGACAGGAGGCCAGGAGATCCAGTGAAGGGACTCCATCAGGACTTAGGGCTGGGCACATGTGGGCAGTGCTCTACGGTACCACAGACACAGATAGGGGTCCACCAAGCCCTGCCAGGTGGGGCTTCTGGTAGCACTGGGGAGAGACTTAACTCAGGGGCCCCAGAGCCGTGAACCTGGGTCGGGACAGGCTGTGATCCTAGCTCAGGCAGGAGCTGGTGGCCGTTTGGAGAGGGATGAAGCCTGTGTTTTGGTGACCACCATCTGTGCTTCAGTGCGCTCCACAAACAAAAGATGGACGTAGTGAGGTTGTCTTGAAGGGTAGGATTTAGGGAGGAATTTGGCTCAGCAGAAAGGAGGTGTTCCTGCTCAGGGAAAGGGACAGAGGGTTTAAGATAGTTAAGGAGGGATGGTTCTGGCCTCAGGAGACAGTGAGGAGGCCCAGGTGACAGAGGCCATCACAAGGACTACTGGTTTTCTGCTCAAAAAACGTTGGGCCCCAACTTCAACCATTAGCAAGACAGTGATTTCCAGTGGATCAGAGATCACTGGGAATGGAAATGCTGTAATAGCTCAGAAGACAATTAGGCTCTTTAAAGTGGAGGGAAAGTAAATGATACTCGGTAACCTAGAAAGATGCGTACGCCCTGTGGCCGCGTCATTTCCCTTCCAGGTCTGCGTCCTAGAGACCCAGGCCCTGGCATAAAGCTGCTTTTGCAGCATTGCTTGTGATAGCGATAAGATGGAAATAGCCTAGTGTTCATCAGCAGATTAATAGAATGTGGCATCTGTGTACAGTGGAGTACTATGCAGTTGAAGTGAATAAATGAGGGACCTGGTGAATGAACGTGGGCAGAGCTATGCTGAGCCCAAAGCAAACTGCAGTGGGGGGCACCAGTGTGATACTGTAGTGATTGTCTCTGGGGAGGGAGGACGGTGCCTCCACCCGTAACTGTGATGTTAGAGGGTTTTTTTCTAATTTTTATTTGTTTTTGGCTGCACTGGGTCTTTGTTGCTGCGCGCTGGGCTTTCTCTAGCTGCGGCGAGCGGGGGCTACTCTTTGTTGCAGTGTGCGGGCTTCTTATTGTGGTGGCTTCTCTTGTTGCGAAGCACGGGCTCTAGGTGTGCACGCTCAGTAGTTGTGGCTCGGGCTCTAGAGCGCAGGCTCAGTAGTTGCGGCACACGGGCTTAGTTGCTCCGCGGCACGTGGGATCTTCCTGGACCAGGGCTTGCACCCGTGTCTCCTACATTGGCAGGTGGATTCTTAACCACTGCACCACCAGGGAAGCCCTAGAATGTTCTTATGGAAGAAAATACGATCTGAAGCCAAAATGGTGTGAAAAATTTTTTTAATTAACATTTATTTTTGGTTGCGGTGCATGGGCTTCTCATTGCGTTGGCTTCTCTTGTTGCAGAGCACGGGTTCTAGGCACACAGGCTCAGTAGTTGTGGCGCACAGGCTTAGTTGCTCTGCGGCATGTGGGATCTTCCTAGACCAGGGCTCAAAGCCACGTCCCCTGCTTTGGCAGGCGGATTCTTACCACTGTGCCACCAGGGAAGGCTGGTGTGAAATTTCTAAATTGGGCTCAGTTCCTACCTGCCAAGTTGATAGGAATGCCAGGGTCTCATGCTGGGTTATCCAGAAAATAGGGTCTCACCTCGTACAACAGAGGGTCCAGCCACCTCCCACAGCCAGAGAGAGGTAGCCCTGGCAGGGCCTGTCCACCATGCCTGGGGCTCCCCCTGCCACAGGTGTGGTAGTTGCTGGGCCCACCCTCCAGCCATGGGCCGGGTCAGCGTGGCCTTTCAGACAGGCAGCCCTGTGGGTGGCCCCCTGTATCAGGCCCCCAGCAGTCTAGAAACCCGTACATCTGATTGAAATTCCCTGGGTGAGTTGCAGGGGCTGCTGCTCAGGCCTCCTCAGGGCTCCCTATCTCTGAAAGGCCCCTTCATGGACCGTGGGCCTTCTCTTTGCTAAAAGTAGGGGAAATAAAGGCACAGGTGAGATTCTGAGCGGAGCATCTGGGGCCCTGAGAAGAGAGCTACATGGAAGTGCCAGGTGGAGGTGGAGGATGCTGAGGGGCAAAGCTAGATGGGCCAAGGCCTTTTGTCGGCACCCTTATTTTTATAACCTTCACCCCAGATGACAGCTACCTCAGTTTCCCTAGGCTGGAAGCTGACCCCAAGTCCAGTTCTTCAGGGTCTGATGATGGTTAACAAACAATCAACACTAACACATACCGAGTAATTGCTGGGTGCCAGGGCTGTGCTAGGCCTCTTTGAAGCCCCCCAGCAGCCCTGTGCAGTACTTGTTACCATCTCTATCTCACACCCAGGGGCACTGAGAAAGCTCAAAGCAACTTGCTGTGCTGCCCTGGGCAACCCCTTCCTTCGCCAGCCCTCTGCTGTCTTCTAGGGGCCTCAGGTGACCAGCAGTTGCTGCGCAGAAGGGACTAGCAGTGGCACTGGTAGGGAGGCTCCATGAGCCCTGGTGGCCAAGGCAGGAGGGAGTGCTGAGAGGGAGGGTGAGCAGCCATGGGCGGGCCCCTGGAGCGTGGCCAGGGTGCACTTCTGGCCCACACAGTCCATGCTCCCTCAGGAAGCTCCCCTGCAGTGGTGAGGTGAGGCGAGAAGGGACTCCAGGCAGGGAGACAGCATAGACAAAGGCCTGGGGGCAGGACAGGGGATGACCTCTAGCTGGGGCCTCGTGAGGATCACTAGACGGACAGTGGCCGTGCAGCGCTGAGGGAGCCTGGGACAGCTTCCCTTCAGGGCCTTCCGGAGGCAGGGCTGGGAGACACTCCCACTGTGCAGGACCGCCCCCATCCCTCCTCCTCGCCCCCAAAGTAAAAGACAGTCAAGAAGTGCCTGGAAGCTTGTAAGGAATGCAGAAATTCACCATCTCTGGGTGAGGGTTTAAGGGAACCCCCCCCCCAACCTGTTTAAAAAGTCATCTTTATTGAGGTATAATTTACATCCAGTAGGTTTCTCCCCTTTTGAAGTGTGACTGACTGACGTATACAATCTTGTTACCACCACCATGGTTAAGACCCAGATACCATCACCCCAGAAAGGTCCCCGGGCCCCCGTCAACCATTTGACTTGTTTTCTGTCGCGACAGTTTTGCTTTTTCCAGACTGACTTATAAAGGGAACTCCTACATGACCTAATGCTCTGGGGAGCCAGCCGCGTGGTGCCTGAGCCCGGAGTTCGGTCTGTAGGTCTGCATTGCCAAGTAGTCGTCCATCAGGTCACTTCCTGTTGAAGTGCATGGGGCTGATGGCTGTATAAAGCTGCTAAGGAACAGGTTTTTGTGCAGACCTGTGTATTCATTTCTTTCTCCACCCCCAACTTCTGTTAATACATATTTTCTAGTGTTTCTATAATGAACCAGTATTTCTTATGTAATAACAATCACAATTTTTTTAAAAAGTGCACAGAAAAGCAATAATGGGGTACCACTTTCTATGTTCACTGATCCCACCCAGTGCCAGGCATCAAGTTGGGTACCAGGAAGCTGGTGGCGGGTAAGACAGATGTGGTCCTGTCAGCAGGAGCAGGGCAATTGTCACTAGTGTCCATGCAGGGACAGGGTAAGAAGCTTTGCAAAGGAGAGGGCCTGGCTTCTGAACACCATCTCTGTGCTGAGCAACTGTGTGACCCTGGGTGAGTCCCTCCACCTTTCTGAGCCCCAGATGAAGACTGCTGTTCTGCATCAAAGTCTAAGGAGCTGATGCCCGTGGAGGGAGCTGGCCCGCAAGCAGGGCTTCCCCCTTTCCCTTCAGGAAGCACTGCTGTCACTGCCCAAAAGACCTTTTTTCCTTCCTCAAAGCTCCAGTGAGGTAGCGGCAATGGTTGTACAACTCAGCTACTATGCTAAAAGCCGCTGCGTTATACACTTGAGAAAGATGAATTTTATAGCGTGTGAATTCTATCTCCATAATCTGCCATTACAAAAAGAAGAGCTCTAGCAAGGGACCAACTTTGCTAAAAATGTTTTTCTGGTGGGAAATGTGAGCTGTGAAAATTAGACTTCCAGAAATAAAGAAAATCCTCTTTCCTAGGGAATGGAGGGGCTCTGTGACGTCAGGAATGGGCTGTGAACAGAGGTCCAGGTGATGGAGGACCCACTTGCTTCTCCCACTGCACCGAGTGCTCACCTTTGTCACAGAGTAGTGCTGGGGACATCCGAGGGTTAGGATGAACGGGAGGCCTGGGAATCTCTCTCTCTTCCAAGCCCTGCTGGCTCCATGTGTGCTCAGTATCTTCTCACCCTCTGCCTATTGATTGGTTATAATTCCAGATACCTGAAGCCAGATGTGGACAAGAAATCCAAACATAAGACAGCGGTAAAGAAGAAAACCCTAAACCCAGAGTTCAACGAGGTACGAGAGGCTGGTGAAGCCACGAGCCACTCACTCGCCCTCAGGAAAGGGGACCCCGGAGGGACTGGGTTTTTCAAGGGTCACTGTGGGAGCTGGAGGTTGGGGAGGGACTGACAGGAGAGCCCCCAGCCGTGGGGTAGGAGGACTGGTGGGAGAAGTGAGGCCAGGCTGAAACCAGGCCAAGGTGGTGCAGACAGAAGTGAGGAGCGGCCTGGAAAACTCTTCGGAGGATTGAATTGATGGGATTGTAGCCATGTTGTATGTGAAGGGGGTGGTGTGAGGATGTGAGCGGCCCCAGGAAGGTGGGGGCAGATAGATACCCAGGTCCTCAGCCCAGGGGGTGGGTGCAGCCGGAGAGGAGCTCCGAGGAACAAGATGAGGGAGGGGAGCCTCTGACAGAGCCTGAGTGACTCAGGTGCAGGCAGAGAAGGCCGAGGAGGTGCTGCCAGGGAGCGAGGGGGACACCAGGTGTTGAAGGATCCTGGAAGCTGGTGGGAGAGAGGGTTCCACAAAGAAGGGAGTGGTCAGCAGAATCAGACCCAAGAGAGGTCAAGCATGCCAAGGCCACCAAGTGTGCGTTGACTTGCACTAAGGAGACTCTTGAGGATCCTGAGAAAAGCAGCTTCAGTGACAAAGGGGCAGGTGGGTCAGAGGGAAGGGCACCCTGAGGATCTCAGCTGGGCTCTCAGATGGAAGTGGGTGAGATGGGTGAGAATCCATTATCATTCACTGCTGTGCACTGGCCACCCTCCTGGCCACCAGCCAACTTACAGGCCATGTGTCATTGGTCCTGACACTCCCCTTCTGGCCACCAGGAATTCTGTTATGAGATTAAGCACGGGGACCTGGCCAAGAAGACGCTGGAGATCACCGTTTGGGATTATGACATTGGAAAATCCAACGATTTCATCGGTGAGAGGACACGATGGGAATGCTCTTTAGCAACATGCCCATCCTGGGTTCAGCAAAGGGCAGGGGCCCTGAATCAGGCCACAGTCCCACCTTCCTGGCCTGTGGGGAAAGTTGGGGCCATAGACATGATCCAGCCTGACCCCATGTGACAGAGAAAGAGGCCCAGAGAGGGAAAGA